TCTCTAAAAGACTAATATTTAGGAACAGAAGAAGTATTTTTGAATTCATGTCATGCATGCATGGTTTGGAAAAATAGATGCACTATACTTATTGGATTGTTGTTGTGTTCGTGTGTGGGTGTCTGTGTGTGTGTGTGGTCATATGCTTGATACATACAAAGTTTTCTCACCTCCATATTGTTCATCTTTTAAATTTGAATTTGCATTTAAAAACTTAGCAGGGATGCCATGAAATGTGAAATCCACGTTGAGATCACTATATCACAAACTCACTCTAATTCAACAACTCGTCATAAATCAATGACCATGTTGAGATTAGTATTTGCAAGGAAAATACGGGCATTGTAATACACATAGATTCATTCGGCAACTTAAAAGGTTCCTTTCGTATTCTCGAATGGTAGGACCCAACAGCATACCAGCCATACCTTGACTCGTGTTGATCCTAAAAAAATAAAAAATAAAACCAGGCTCGTGTCCTTCTGGTGGCGTGCGTGGTACACACATTAGGCAACCCCAACTAGTCGAGCCCCCGCGTTTCGAGTCGAAATATCTGGCGGCCAGAATTCTAGCCCTAGGAAATTCCCCTCATGTCCCCGGTCCATAATGACTACCGATGAACAACGGAGGGATGCTTTAGTAACTAGACAACATTGTGTTAAAAAAAGTAACTAGACAACGTTACCTACTGTGCCGAGCACGGTTCAATTCCCTCGGTCGCCGCTTGCCAAGGTCACCCGTCAACTACATTGCCTACTACTACTACTACTACTACTACTACTACTACTACTACTACTACTACTACTACTACTACTGCTGCTGCTGCTGCTACTACTACTACTACTACTACTACTACTAACTACTACTACTACTACTACTACACCAGGATGAGCACAGAATTGAGCCCCTTTTTCCCGTTTGTTTGTGCCTAGTACTTGAGTTAATATATCAGGCAATGCATTGGTACGGAGGGATTATCCTTTTGCTCTGCATATATAACTTGTCTGAAGTCTAACTAAGCAAAATGTTTGACCAAATCCTTTCTTAAGAAATACAACAGGACAAATGTATGGTTTGAAAATTTATTGCATGATGCAGGTTATGATATTGTTTCGAATCCTGAATCTTTAATTTCAGAAAATCCAAAAGTGACCATAAATTCTTAAAACTGAGCATGGTCACGTCATATGGCACAAATATTACTCTGTAATTTTTTTCTTCAATTTGAAACAAGCTGCTTATGGCAAGTTGCACAAATAAAGAGCCAAGGTATTTTGGAACAAAGACCTGTCACGTTAAGGCGAACGCTTTCATTATTGAAACTGTGGGTGTTTACGTGCCGCCACGAGTCCCGCTTCTCATCGGCAGGTGCCGTCCGAGCAAGCGTGTGAGTCGACGGGAGGCATGCGAGCAGACCGCTGCGCCAGCTGACAGGGAGGCGTGCGAGCAGACCATTGTGCAGGCTCACCGGGAGGCGGGCCCTTTGACCAGGCTCCGCCGCCCAACTTCGTCCCAACTGCTCCCACTTTTAATGTCGCCGACACCGCAGTTTAAAATCAACCCTACACTACCCGGTATCGCTACAATCTTCTCTCTTCCTCTCCGATTCTCCTGTCGTCTACCTCCAACTAGCCTGACCTAAACGTACGTCATGCCGCATCATGATGGTCTGCCCTTAGTCTTCCAGTTTCCCGAGGAAGACACCCAGCCGGAGTCTCAAGAACATAAGGCGCTTTGGGACGAGCTTGAACTGGCCTTGCGAGAAGACGGCGCGCCTGTCCCCGCTCTCGTTCCGGCTCCCGTCGCCCCGACTGCGCCAGCGTCCATCCCCGTGGCATTGATGGGCTAGGAGCCGCACATTGGCGCCGAGCTTGATGCCACGGGGTTCCACGAGGTCCCCATCAACTTTCACGCGCCCGTGCACCTGCCAGCGCCTGCGCGTGCCCTGACGCGCACGCCCGTGCCAGCGCATGTGCCTGCACGTGCACTGACGTGCGTACCCGTGCCGGTGCCCGTGCACACGAATGTCTCCGCCGCGCCGTTGACAGCGCCTGTCCCCGCGCGGGTGCCAGTGCCCCCCTCAGCAGCATGGATGGCCGCCGTCGACCGCTTCCTTGCACCAACGCCAGTCGCCTCCTCCCGCCAGTTGACTCGCTCTTGGAGACCGAAGTCCAGAACATTGTGGCCTTCCTTGAAGCTAGGACCAACGTCCAGGAGTACGCAACAATGGGGCAAGACGCCGCCGTCGCCATCGGTCAGTGGCCCGACGACACACAGAGCACGGCAGAGGAGCCGCTTCCCACCGCAAGATGAACCCGCCGTCGCCGCATAATCTAAATTTTCCATGAAAAACGTTTGGATTTCCATGCTTAGAATCCGAACGTCTATCATTTCCATTTATTTTAGATCGATCATCATATAATTTAAAGTTGGAGTCAGACTGAATGAAATCTATGGTTTGATCGATTCAATGTTCTGCTAGAGCCGTATCAAATTAAATATAAAACGTCATCAAGCCACATGTATTCCTAGTCATCCAATGACCTAGACTGCTTCAATGTCGAGCACTCAACACGTTTAGCGTGTAGTTAATTTCATGCCAAAAATAGTGCTAATCACATATAATAACACACAAATAATATCCAACTTAATATCTGCATGCACTTAATATACTTCGAAATTAACGTGCATTGCACGTACACACTGACTAGTGCTACTAGCACGTGAAACTGGTGCTGTAACTTATGAATGCGTCCAGATATGGTCAACGGCAACATCGCCCACGAGTTCTTCATGTTTGCCCGTGCGTCTAAACGCGGAAGGGGAGGAGAGAGAGAGCACACGTGGAACCCACCAGTAAGTGAAGGCGAATAGTACTAAAAATAATGTTACATGTTATCAATAAAATAGGTTGTGATAATATAAAAACATTATGTGAACAAAGGGAGGTACAACAAATATTGTTGTTCTACGTATGTTGCCTATTAACGTGCGGCTTGAAGGCCCTAGTCGCATGTTCGATCCTCGTCCTTTATTTTTTAATTTGTATATGGGTCCAAATTTGTTTTATGACATGTGGGCCCCTCGGCGTGTAGTTTGTAGCACTTTAATTTGTGGGTCCAAATTTGTTCCATTCCAAATGGACTATCGATGTGTAGTTGTCTAGCTTATTTATAATAATTAAAGAGAATAGCAGAGTTTTTTGCAATAATACCATGGTGCGACGTTGAAGGCGAGAAAGGACGTGCGAGAGAGCAATGACCGAGCCAGAGGGAAATCAACTAGGGGAGTTGCGGGGGTTGCAACGGTGTTTCGAGTAGTTGTGGGCCGAATGCTACGAAAATATAATCTAAACCGACCGGAATAAATGCCTACACAAATTAATCCAAGGTTGGAGTGCTCCTCGCAATGTAAATAGCTCCGGCTTTGCGAGAGATGAAGAGGTAGCTTCAATGTGTGGAAGATACGGCATGAGAAAGTAAGGTCAATCGAGAGACATATAGATAGAGAGACAAAGTGAGTGTGATCCGACATTCATGGAACAAATATATATGCTCTGGAGAGATATTTTCCGATTGAGCTTTTGGCAAGGGTGAGGGTTGTAAGATAGAGCTTGAGAGATGATCCAGTCACAGATGTGTAGATATATTTTGTGCGTGGGAGGAAGCAAGGTCGATCGATCACATAGGGCCGTCGTGCGATCGAAAGAGTGAGACGGGTTGGAGAGAGTGACCAAGATAGACAATGTGCGTGAGAGAGTATACAATGTGAATAAGTCGAATTGGCCTCAAACATGGTGATATATCTTTTTTTTTCCGAGAAAGAGCGAGGTCAATCGAGACATACAAAGAGAGAGAGGGAGAGAGAGAGAGCGAGCGTGGCCTGCCATGAGGTCGAAAGAGTGGGGCCGGCTTCGATGGACTGGCCTAGATAGACAATCTGTGTGAGAGAGTATAGAGTGTGTCGATCGAGGCCCGAACATGGAGATTTATCATTTGTGTGTGAAAGAAAACGAGGTTAAACGAGACTCAGATAAAGAGAGCGAGATTGAGCGAGTGTGGCCCGCTGTGCGGAAGAAAGAGTGGGACAGTCTCGAGGGAGTGACCTAGATAGACAACGTGCGTGCGTGCGCACGAGAGGTTGGGGGGCTAGATAGGCAATGCATGTATTTTAGCGCGAGAGGGTGAGAGGGAGAGGGAGAGAGAGCTCGGCATGGAGTGCAATGGCGGGTGTGTGAGGTAAATACATTTCGTAACATAGTAAAAAGAGATTGTGTAGTTGAGAGTTAGAGATCGAAATATGAAGAGAAAGAATGGTTGTGTGTTGGAAACAGATAGCTTCCTAAGGTGGTTAAGAGAGGAAGATTGATCGATCCTGGAAGTATGTAGCGTGTGTGCGGGGGCTAAAAACAATATTTGAATGTAGATAATACGAGACTTAATATCGATATTTCAATTCAGTGTACATTGTAAGATTTAAACTGAGTCCATGCATATGGGTAATTATTTCGAATTCGTGCCATATTAGGTTTCGAAAAGTTAACATTGACTCGATTTATTGTGTTATTTTATAAGTCGTATATTTAAAAAAAATTTGAGGAGAGGTCGTATATTGAGAAACCTTTTTTTAAAAATCCATCCAAAAGTTTTCTCACTAGAAAAACCAACAATGGGCCGGCCCATACAGAGGACGAGGCGCGCGGGAGGGTACGCCGATAAAACGGAACGCCGCCGCCTCCTTTACTCTTTCCAGTGCGCGACATGGCCTCCCAGCCACCGCCGCCGCCGCCGCCGACTCCGAAGAAGAAGAAGAAATCCCCGTCACCCGCTCCCACCACCATATGCGCCCTCGGCGACGACCTTCTGCGCGAGGTATTCCTCTGCCTCCCCTCCCTCCCGAGCCTCGTTCGCGCCTCCCTCACCTGCCGCCCTTTTCTCGGCGCCGTCCGTTCGTCGCCTGCATTCCGCCGCCGGTTCAGCGACCTCCACTCGCCCCCGCTCCTAGGAATCTTCCTCAGCATCCACGACCCCGCCTTGCCAGCCTTTGCGCCCACCCGCCGCCTCTCCGACGTGGACCACGCCGCCGCCATCCGCGGCGCCGATGTCTTCCTTACCCTGCTCCCCGAAGACGATAAGGACGCCGATCGCGAGTGGGCAATGGAAGACTGCCGCGACGGATATGTCGTTCTCGTCAACTGGGGAATCAAGCAAATGGCTGTCTACGATCCCCTCACACGGGCCCTGGATCTCTTCTCCGCGCCACCGGACAAGATCTGCAGCGGCATGCACGTTGAGTTCCACATGCTCGGCTCTGAAGAATGCCACGGGGAGTTCCGCGTTGCCTCTGTCTGTCATGACGAGTGGGGGGCGCAAGCTGCCGTGTTCTCATCAGATAGCAGAGAGTGGCAGGTTTTCCCGTTTTCAGAGGATGGTCACTGCAATCATGATGGTACAATGGTGAATGGGTTTCTTTATTGGACATTTACAAGCGGAGCCAATATCCTTGTGCTGAACACCGCTACACTGTAATTCTCGCAAATCAATCCGCCGCTGCATATGGAAGGGCAAGGGGAATTTAAGCCTGGTGAGACCAAGGATGGGAGGCTCTGCTTGGTTTGCACGGTTAAATTCACGCTTGTTGTCCCGGATGACGACGACGTTGATAGATGGATCCTGGATAAGACATTACCGATGCAGGATGCGATCACTCTGCACGATGATTGTGCTCTCAATGTTGTGGCGATTATCGGTGGTTTGGTGTATTTTTCTACTTCTTGTGAGACGCATTCGAATTCTTGCTTTTTCATGTCCTTCTGCCTTGAAACAGAGGAGCTGAATAAGCTCTGCCCTGTCACTCCCTACCCTATTCGTTCCTATCCGTACATCATGGCGTTCCCTCCTTCATTGATATGTAATAAGGTGAACCCTCAACCTGAAGGAGCTTGACTAAGCGGAAGAACAAAAACTGGAACCAGATAATGTTACTTTCTCGCTATAGAGTAAACCAAGATGTCCGAGTGTTGTTGGGAATTGTCCGTCATTTGTGTAACCTTATCATGTATCAATATCATTAATAGCTGACATGATAGTGTTTTTGTTACTCAAAAGTGGCTGAAGCTCACTTCTATGTTTAGAAGAAGCATTCTATGGGGATCTCCGATATTTCCTAAATGCATCGAGAAACTCACATGGTTCTAAGTTACTTTCTAGCCAGATTGCTTAAGGTCTCTTGCATGCATATACATGAGCAAATATCTTCAGTTAGCTCTCTGTCCTTTGTAGAAACTTGCTAATGGTGTAAATGGTAAGCTACGTGTTGACCTAACTATGAATTTGTAGCCTTCACCGTATCAATAAAGTTAGGCAAAGGTACAACTTGCAGGATCAGTTTATAATTGACATAAATGAAGCTACTCCCTCTGTATCAAAGTACTTGTAGTTGGGGGAACTTGTACTAGTTCCCCCACCTACAAGTATTTCGGTACAATGGTAGTAGATTTTATTTTCCAATATCTTTGTCAATTATACATAGGTATTTCATCTGTGCAACTGGTCATTTGGAAGTCCAGGTTTGGAGTTAAGCAGATACTTTGAGAAACTTAGCGCCCAAGTGTCTACTAAGCACCTGCAGAACTCTTCGTATGATTGACTATAGTTGATTGATCTTTCAGGGTCAATAGTACACATTTTATTTTATCAAAACATTTTCCGTGAGGTGTAGACTATTGATAGACTGCAATGTGAATGCTGTAATTATCTCAAATGTATCTGCCGCTGCACCTGGAAGGGCAAGTGAGTTTTATTTCTGGTGAGCCTTTGTGTTTACCTTTGGGCCGCTGCCGCTCTGTAACCTTTGTGTTTTTCTACTCATGCTTGATGTCTGGGTTTGGAGAGCCGCGATGACGATTTGTAGAGATGAATACTGGACAAGACATTTCCACTATTGTGGGCCAAATGACGACGTGATTATTCAGTGTTCAGTGCTGGTGGTGGATCATTTTGCACTGAAGACTGACAATTATTGATGGATTTGTGCATTTGTCTACTTGCCGTGAGAAGGATCGTAGTTTACCTTGCTATTCTTTTAACTTTATCCTGTGATTATCAAAAATGATAAATCCTGAACATTCTGGACTTGACCATGGCAAATCAAACGTTTTCGATGGCAATTTTAGTGACGCGAGAATGGCAAGTTTAGTCGACACACATGGCGATTTTCTGGCAAAATATACACCACACGCAGATTTGCCATGCTTGGCAACTAAACTTCCCATCGTCGTGTCGCTAAAACTACCATCGAAAACATTAGATTTGCCATGGTCAAATCCTGAACGTCTTTTGGTTATGTAGATGCAATCCTTGTTAGATTTACTTATTTAAGTATAGAACAATAAATCAACACCCACTCTGCTATTGATACACGAGTGATGGCATGTTCTGAATTCAAAAAATATTCATGAATTCATAAAAAAAATCACGAAATGAAAAAATGTCCGCTATTTTGAAAAAAGTTCATAGTTTTGAAAAATGTTCACGAATTCAAAAAAAATCATGACTTTGAATGTCCATGAAATACAAAAGTGTTCATGAATTCAAAAAATATTCATGAATTTGAAAATTGTCTTTGTATTTCAAAAGGTGTTCATGTATTTCAAAAAATGTTCACGAAGTTGAAAATTATGCATGACTAAAAAAGTCATGAATTTGAAAAACTTCACGAATATGAAAATGTTCACGAGTTTGGAAAAAAGATCACATATTTGAAAAACAAAGAAAGGAAAAAAATAAAACAAAAGTGAAAACAAAAAAGAAGAAAAGAAAGAAAACCCAGAAGAAAAGGCAAAGGAAAAACGACCTAGAACCTTTCCAAAACCGGTGGGGGAGAAAAAATGACAATGGGCCAGCCCATACAAAACACGAGGCATGTGGGAGGGTACGCCAATAAAACAGAACGTTGGCGCCTCCTTTCGAGCATCTCTAGTAGACCCCTTATATCGCCGACCCTTATAACACATTTACAGTTCACGGAAAACGTGTTTTGCGGGCTTGCTCTTGTTTTGCGAGCCCGCGTGAGCCCATGAAACATGTTTTCTGAATTTGACACATATCTCACATATTACAGAAAAAATATGAATTCAAATAACATAAAATGTGAATATTATAAATCCAAATTACAATAATTATTCAAATCATCAAATTAAACTAATACTACCTCCGTTCCAAAATACTTGTCTTTCTAGAGATTTCAACAAATGACTACATATGAGGCAAAATGAGTGAATCTACACTCTGAAATATGTCTACATACATCTGTATATTGTAACCATTTGAAATGTCTAGAAAGACAAATATTTAGGAACGGAGGGAGTAATTCAATACAACAATTGTCCCGAATACAACAATGATACCGATCACACATGAATTAAATGAAAATGAATGTAAAATTGGCCGGTGCCTTTGCCAATGGTGCTCAATGTCTTTGCCCATGCCTTTGCCAATGGTGCTCAATGAGATCCTCCTGAAGCTGCTGGTGGGTGTTTGCGTTTTCAATCTCCTGGCATGTCTGAAGGAATTTGTATGCGTTCAGGGTCTCTAACTGGCTTCACATGGCTACCGACATTGTCATAGAAGAACTCAATATTCATGTTCCTCTCGTCTTTGATGATCATGTTGTGAAGAATCACACAACATGTCATGATGTTGTTCAGGGTTTGCTTGTCCCCAAAACCAGTAGGACCACGAACAATGGCAAATCTAGATTGCAAAACCCCAAAGGCTCTTTAATATTTTTTCAGGCAGTCTCTTGTACCTTTGTGTAACACCCATGATGCGGCTATATCTCCCATGTGTCGGAGCATGACTTAGAGGCATAACCGCATTGTAGGCAATGTCGCAAGAGGGGTAATCTTAACACATCCCATGTACTGAATAAGAAAAGAGATACATAGTTGGCTTACAATCGCCACTTCAAGCAATACATAAATATAACATTACAATCATCCAGATACACTCACGGTCCGACAACGGAACCAAAATAAAGACAACCCCAAATGCATAATATCCCCGATCGCCCCAACTGGGCTCCACTACTGATCGTCTGGAAACAAAACGTAGTATCATCCCGAGTCCTCATCGAACTCCCACTTGAGCTCAGTCGCACCTCCTGGAATGGTATCATCGGTCCCTGCATCTGGTTTTGGAAGTAATCTGTGAGTCACGGGGACTCAGCAATCTCACACTCTTGCGATCAAGACTATTTAAGCTTATAGGTAGGGAAAAGGTATGAGGTGAAGCTGCAGCAAGCACTAGCATATATGGTGGCTAACATACGCAAATGAGAGCGAGAAGAGAAGGCAAAGCACATTCAAGAATCTATGATCAAGGAGTGATCCTAGACTACTCACGTTCAAGCATAACCCGAAACCGTGTTCTATTCCCGGACTCCGCCGAAAAGAGACCATCACGGCCACACACGCTGTTGATCCATTTTAATTAAGTTAAGTTTCATGTTTTCTACAACCGGACATTAATAAATTCCCATCTGCCCATAACCGCGGGCACGACTTTCGAAAGTTCAAATCCCTGCAGGGGTATCCCAACCTAGCCCATCACAAGCTCTCACGGTCAATGAAGGATATTCCTTCTCCCAGGACGACCCGATCAGACTCGGAATCCCGGTTACAATACATCTCGACAATGGTAAAACTAAACCAGCAAAGCCACCCCGAATGTGCCGACAAATCCCGATAGGAGCTGCACATATCTCGTTCTCAGGGCACACCGGATGAGCCAAACGTTGGGTTGGCATAGACCCTGGTTGCCCAGGGGGCGCCGGACATCACTCAAGTTGGACCAACACTTAGAGAAGCACTGGCCCGAGGGGGTTAAAATAAAGATGACCCTTGAGTCCGCGAAACAAAGGGAAAAAGGCTAGGTGGCGAATGGTAAAACCAAGGTTGGGCCTTGCTGGAGGAGTCTTATTCAAGGCGAACTGTCAAGGGGTTCCCATCATAACCCAACCGTGTAAGGAACGCAAAATCAAGGAACATAACACCGGTATGACGGAAACTAGGGCGGCAAGAGTGGAACAAAACACCAGGCATAAGGCCGAGCCTTCCACCCTTTACCAAGTATATAGGTGCATTAAAGTAGACAAGATATAATAGTGATATCCCAACAATAAACATGTTCCAACAAGGAACAAACTCCAATCTTCACCTGCAACTAACAACGCTATAAGAGGGGCTGAGCAAAGCGGTAACATAGCCAAACAATAGTTTGCTAGGACAAGATGGGTTAGAGGTTTTACATGGCAATATGGGAGGCATGATAAAGCAAGTGGTAGGTATCATAGC